TTTCCAAAGGGGAAGGGAGAGCGGCCGATCCCCCTCTAAATTCGCCCCTGAGTAGTAGCTAGCAGTAGCAGCAGCATTACAGCAGCAGTAGATAGTATTCCGATTACAACTTGGAATTCATAGTGATCAATGTAATTGTCGTGTTGACGCCCTCAAAATTAGCATGGCGGACAGAAATATTATGATGGGCGTATGAGCGATTCTGAGATAGTGATGGTAACATCCCTCTCTAGTCTGCCAGAATTAAAACAAGAATTATGAAGTTTTGATAAAGTAATGTACAGTATATTGAATTTGTTAAGATGAAACTTGACTCTTAGTTAATAAATCCCATGCTTGGAAATGTAATTGCTAAACGCTGTATGAAGATGTACTGTAGACATTGTAATACCATATGATTTCAAAAAGACATGTTAAGTAAATGAGACACAATTTTGTTCGTGTTGTTGATGGATATATTTATTTACATAAAACGATTTCATAAATAGTTGTTATTGATCCATCTACATACGCACAGCAAATTGACACTATTATTTTAATGAGAATTTTTTGTTCAGAATGAAGAAATACGTATAATTTTTATATAATCATCAGATTCTTTTGATTTCTACTGAACACATGTGGTACATAATTAATGTTTGTAAAGCGGCTCTTATGCCAGGTTCGCGAAGTGACTCTATCATGACAGTCTACAATTGGATGGGAAACTAATTTTCATAAGGACTAGAATTACTTCAGCTTGTGAGGGAGCCGCTTGGGCACCTTAATAAACATACATTTATTATAACTTTAGTGAATAAATATATAACATATCTACGTTATACCATGTTTACCGTCTATATTGAAATGCATTGCTCAAAGCTCAAATATTTTCTCGCAGATAGGCCTACTACGGTAAAGCCTGTTTTCCCTAAAACCCCTACACTATCGCAACAGTGTTTTACTGCAATCGTTGCACTAGCGTAGCAGTCCACGACGTAATCGGGAAAGCTCCCCGATTCGACCAACCAATCAGCATCACCGAAAGTTTGTCGGCGATAGCGCGTGTAGCGATATATGGAGACCAAGCTATCTGGCAACTTCATGATAACAAATTTTCTTTTTCCATCGCGCGTCATCTTCCACAAAATATTTATAATTGGTTGCATTCATGCCGACGTCATTCTGTTACCATGGAGAGTTTACGTTAATATTATTACCGTATGTAGACCTGAATTTTAGGCATTTCTAATATTTATCTGTCCGAAACCAATTGTCAGCACTTTGAAGAGGAAACCAATATTTGATTTTAAAAATATTTACAAGCTTAGTATTTACAATATCCAATCTGACATAGAATATCCGACCATTAAATGATTCATGGAGGACGTGCACCTCTATAAACAACAATTTAATTTTAACATTAACACAATGATAATTGAGGTAGGCCTATAATTATTATATCATGTTACCGTCACTGAATATCGATGTCTAAATCAACGGCATATGAGTAAGCCCTACCCTTATTTTTAACTTTGCTGTCCAATATAAAAAGCACATACATGAAACTAATAATTTAAAAATGTTATATAGGTCTATTATGGAGGTATATGGCTGCGCTACAGTACAGTACTGTAGTGAGCCAAATATTAGCCATGTGGTGCATTAGCAGTCAAGTGAAAAAATGAGGATATAAGCCTATTATAACTTTGAATGCACAACACATGAGTTTAGTTGTAAATAAAATAAAATCTAGATTTGTTTAGCATATAGGCTTATATATATATCTGTCTCTTATACACATCTAGATGTGTATAAGAGACAGTACTACTACCGATTTTTAAAAATTGGAAATCAACATTATTTTATGCTAAGTTCTCAATCAAAATAATCTTTTTCGCCGTCAGAATGATGCGCTACCCTTAAGCCTCCGGCCACACACTCATAATATAATATTTAGGTAAACAAACAGCACCACCAGGTGTCAACTAGTGTTTTCAAGTCTTTGTACACTAGACACCGCAAGCTATATTATTTTTTGGCTGGGGTTTTTAATAATATTACTATAAAAAAATTTATTCCAAATTCAAATCATTATCCTTATTTTGCAAAATACTTTGATGCAAACATTTTCAATTTTTCCCTTCCCAATTTCTACATGCTCCTTCCTAATTGCTGCATATTTCTATTAAACGTTTCACTGTTTACTGTATTTAATGTTACAGGATGATTTTGTTACTGGACAGGATTTACCCAGCCCTTATAAAGTAAATTAGATGTAGTCTGTAGATTTTTTTATATCAGGTTTTTCTTTATATTTTATAATAAAGTTACAAGCGTTGCTGGCGCCATATAGGTATTCATCCTATTCATAAATCTGTTTGAATAAACTGCTACATGTGGGAGATTTAAGCGGACATCGAAAGACTGACGACTGTCAAACCAAACGAAGGTATCTTTTTTTTTAACAATACACAATAAATATACGAAAGGTGGAGACATCAAGATTCATATAAAAAATTATAGGAAGATAGAGACTGTGACTGGCATACCAAGGGAGGGCAGGACTCTGTTTTTGCGATCAATGTTGGAGCTGGATGGCGCCAACGTAAAACTTTTGTACGTGGAAAGTTCGGAATTAAAAGCGAGTCAAACTGGTAAACCCATTGATCGCAATGAAAACTACAAGTCCCACATCTCAGGAGAGTTAGTGTCTTACATAGCAATCGTTCTCAACAATGATACCTCGATCTTGTACAATGAGTTATTACCTCTCAGATATTAAATATATTACGGGGATATTATTCAAGCCGTTGCATTCCGGGATGTATAAAAAATAGAGAGTTGTTTATTTGGACAACACACGCAACATTGGGCTAACACCATTAAAATTAAGTAATTCTTAAACACGTGTACTGAAGAAACTTCAAAATACTAATATACCTATTTGATATTGATTAAACGATATCTATTTAATGATAATAATAATATGCCTAATGATTATATCAATATTAATACAAATACAATACAAATACAATAATAACAATGCCTCTATACCCATATAGGTTCATATAAGCATGTTGTACGGTATAGGTTCATTACACACACTGTCAAACTCATTTTTTTTTCTGGGTTATTGTTTATTACTTTATAAATATAAAATGATAGTAAAAGTTACTAAATAAAAAAAATATTTTGAACAAAAAAAAATGTTTACATTGCTCAGTAAGTGAGTTGAAATTTACAAGGTCAAATAAGTATAGGCCTATGCATGATATACTATGTATAGTAATATTTTATTATTAGGATTATGACATATAGGCCTAATGTGTTTTAATTATTGTTGCAGATTATATTCAGAAAATGAATAGCAGATAATACCTAAATGATAGGCCTAGCCTATATGATGTTATCAGATAGGTTAACAAAAAGATTAAAAACAAAATGAAAATTGTATATGTGTATCTGCTAATACATGTTTTTTATGCTATTGTACATGAACAAAATTACAAAAAAAAGTAAAAATTGTATATCATTGGAAAATGACGTTATCTTGTACAACCCGATGGTTACTAGGTAATATTGTAACCGTAGTTTTATTTTGTATATTATTTGTAATTGTGTTAAATGAAAAAGAGTAGTAATAAAGGTGAGTGACTCACAAAAGAGAGAAAAAATAATAACAATGCCTACAATAACAATAAGTATTTATTAATAATGATAATACCTGTAATGTAATAATAATAATAATAATAATACAATAAAAATATACAATAACAATTTTCTCCCGAAGACTAATATGGTAGGTTATCGAAATGTCAACACTCTTTAAAACTATTCAAGTGGTGTAACGCAAATATAAATGTTTTTTTGCTATATAAACATTCAAACAATAATATTATGCTAATATTGTAATATTTTTATAATAATATAATAAATAAGGTACAATAAAAAAAAAACTTAATACTCGTAATAATACAATAAAAAAATTAATAACAACAAACAATAGCCTTAACAATATATAATATAATAATACTTGTACGGTATTAGATATTCAGGCCTATGTTTGTTATAGTTCTATGTTATTATAAGCTTTAACCACGCGAACAAGCGACCCAACTCTCGTTTATCATTCTCCTTTAGCTTTGTTTCAGAACCTATTTTATTACGACAACATTATACATAGGCATCCCGTGAGTACATTTTGTTCCTTGTTTAAAATCATCGCCAACACATTGGATCTTGGTCATATCAATTAGGAACTAATTACAGTATACTTATAAGTAGTTTACCAAATCAGACACTATCAATTTCATATCTTAATGTCAAGTTGCATTATGATGATAAACGACGTTCAGTAGGCCTAAGATGCAGGTGAGGTAATGTAATATTTATGAGGGGTTGGACAAGATATGACGAGCTTATGTTGATGGTGTAATGACAACACCCTATTCAGTAGTGTTAATTGCAATATTTCTGGCCCGTTCTATCAGTGCTTGACTTATCAAATAAGGAATGATTTATGTACTCAGTAAATGTAACCAAGTCTACGCCTTCCAGTTACGACGGAACGCCGCACGTGTTTAGCAATTAGAGTATTTCTACTAATATTGTCTTGTGGTTTAACTCCAGTTATTCTTGTATTTTAACCTGTCTTTGTGTTTGTATAGGCAAGCTTTTTATGAGAACCAGTGGGCAGGTACCTACAGTTGAAGTGTCTGATTTATTGTCCTAACGTTAGTTAAAGCAACTGTTTCAATTTTACTCCAATTCGCATCTTTATACTGATAATTCATTATAATTTTCATTTAAACTATATATTTATCCGACTACAATCGTCACTTAACTTTGTTATTTCATTATTAACCTTACCTAAGAAATAATATTATGATATAATATACGGTAATTGCTACATTATAAACATTTTTTATTATATTTGGTATTACTTTTGTTGAAATTAGTAATAATGTTATCAATCATTATTATATGTTTATGTGACATCAGACATGTATAATATAGTTCAAGCTATAAAATGTTTAATAAATGCAACTCTTAATATTATTACCGTTATTTTCAAAAGTCCAGTCACCATCTATGCCCCTGATTCGGCAGTGTCCATTCTTCCGACTGTGATCGTCACCCTGTAATGCAAAGGAAAATAATTCGGTAATATTTTTACACCTTAATGACCTAATTCTATTATCTTCACCATCATCATTATGATAATTGTTACCATTTGTTATTGTTTTTGTTACTGTATTATTTTCATCATTATTATCATTATTCTTATTATCATTTGCGTTTACGTTTACGTGGTACATTCTGCGAAGGACCTAATGGTCCTTAGCTGCAGGGTAGCAGGGGTTGTATGGACCAGTACACCGGGGTAGCTCCCTGGGTTTTTAAAAGTGCACATGAGCCAATTGTGTTCAATGGGCCTAGTACGGTTTATAGTCTTTATCCGAGAAGACGTGTTCCACCAGAATCATCATGTGAGCGTGCCGCACGAACCAGCCTATATTATGGCTGTACGCCCCTTCCTGCTCGGCCATTCGACGCCCAATCATTATTAGGCCTATTATCAATGATGGTGATTATTATTATTATTATTATTATTATTATTATTATTATTATTATTATTATTATTATTATTATTATTATCCTCATCATTATCATCATTTATATTATTATTAATATTTATATAGGTAGGCCTATGAAAGCATATAATTTTGCAATGGAAAAGGGGCGCGAAAGTAAAATCACCTCATTGTAACGAAGAGTTAGCCCTAAGTTTCATAATTATCTAGATTTTTTTTAGCAAAATTTAATTATTATTTTGAAATAATTAAAACTATCTATTTATAACTTAAAACACAAACTTGATTTAGAAGTTAAGATGAGAAAAGTTTTAACAAACTCTAAAAACGGATGTCATGCTATGTTATTAAGTTCCCAGTTTTCCCAGCGCGAACTTTCATCAGTCTCCTAGGAATAAACATACCTACATCAAAATATGCAATGATATCAAGTTAGATCATGTATTTTTCGTCAAGATATAGATTAAGTGTATCATCGATAGCCGTCAATTTCTTTGTTCATTCACCTTAATTTCATCGCAATCATTTCGCCCTAGCTATGACAGCATTTGGCCTACGGACATGGGTTTGGTTGCAACTGGGGAGGTAAGTGACACCCCCAGACCTCGTCCCAGTGGCTTGGCACATCATCACTCGATATACGCTACGTAAATTTCGTGATCATTCCGTCCTCCGAGAAAATTTGATACAATTAAGAAATCAAATTGTTCCGTTGCTGTAATCTCTTTGGGGACACACAGGCTGGGTTATCGAATCGGGATCACAAAGTGACGAGTATCGAATGAATGCGATGATATGTCTGTTATTCCGATGGTACCGATAATAATGTTCTTCTATGAGTTCAGTTTCATTGTAGAATAATTTACGATTTGACGAAAACAAATCTATTCCAACATATTTCTATGTAAAAGAGAATTTTTGATGAACATGCCACACAGTGTCTTCTTGTCTATCAATGATAATCTGTTTTATTTGTGATAAATCGCAAAAGTAATCTAGTAAATTAGATAGATACACATGTACACGATTTAACAAAGCTTCCGAGTAGAGGATGTGGAATTTTAATAAGCTTTTAAAGTATGCCAAGAATGCAACATTGATTTATGATTATGAATATTAATGAGATCTAATATCTAGACCTAATTATGGTAAACGAAGAAGCTTTTTTTTTTTTTTTTTGGTTTAACAATTAAAAAGTGATTTAGTCCCGTTTGGTGACACGTTTAAAATCTAAACGTGTTTAGACATAGCTTAATGTAGTTAGGATCTTGACGAGTTCTGCATTAAATGTCATCATGATGTCAAATACCTAAGCACATTTAATGCTAAACACGTTAGAAACCTAAACACATTAGGCCTGGTATAAACACGTTTAGCTTTTAAACGTGTCACCAAAAACGGGACAACATTGCGTGGAGCTTTGTGTATGCTCCATGCTGTTTTTACAGTGTATACAATAAAATGACGATATAATATATATATACATATATATATATATATATATATATATATATATATATAAATCAAGATAGCCGTTAACACTGTTAAATTATATACATAAATGATCAAAGAAAGGTAAATATAGTGTTCGAATAAAGGACATAATAATGCATCGTGTAGCATAGCTCTCAACGAATGTAGTTCTGTAAATAAATGAATAAAGAAATTGTGTAATAAGATGCCTCTGGTGGGACTCGAACCTGCGACATCTCGCTGTCAAGGCGAGCGTCATAACCATTAGACCACAGAAGCTTCATGGTTAAACACATTCAAATACCACCAAATACACTCCATTACACAATAAGTACGGCTAGAAACAAATAATTGCATATGCTGTAATATAAATCAAGATAGCCGTTAACACTGTTAAATTATATATATAAATGATCAGAGAAAGGTAAATACAGTGTTCGAATAAAGGACACAATAATACATCGTGTAGCATAGCTCTCAACGAATGTAGTCCTGTAAATAAATGAATAAAGATATTGTATAATAAAATGCCTCTGGCGGGACTCGAACCTGCGACCTCTCGCTGTCAAGGCGAGCGTCATAACCATTAGACCACGGAGGCTTCATGGTTGAACAGATTCAAATACCACCAGATACACTCCATTACACAATAGGTACGGCTAGAAACAAA